GGGGAGGAGGGGGATTTTGTTCACTTTCGGATACTGAATCCAAGAGTTTCGCCAAACTCCAAGGCCCGAGGCTGACACACTATTCTTAAAACCTGATACAGATATAACCCATCCGGATCAACGGCCTTATACAGATGTGTAACCTGGATTTCAGGAGGGCTGGGATCAACTGACTCTAGTTGTCAAGATAATACATGGGTTAACAAATCTATGGTCGACGAGGGCCAATTGAAGTGTCGTAAAAAATGTTCTGCCCGTCGCTCAAGACGGTGTTGCTGATAATGAATCAATATGCGGTGGACTACTTAATTACCTCTGGCCCAACATCCACGAATCCGTACTCCTAAGTAGATGGCAAAGATTAAGACTATCATCAATATCTGCAACCATATCGACCTCGTTATACTTTCGTATTCAGCAATTCTCGCGGTCACTTCTCAAGCTCCTGGTGATCTCTCGGGGATTTGGGGGTAGTCATATTCAGCATCGGGGAAAGTGGCTGGTTCTACAACCTTTCAGCAAAGGTTGGTTAGATTTATTATTAGCCAGAGACCATCAATGTTTTGATCAGCCTAATTCCAAGCTTCCAGTCTATATTGAGTCTTTCACCGCGTGGTTAAACTGAGACGATCAGCTATTAGGCAGTTGTCACTTGCACTGTCATGCAGACAACTGCTGTTGATTGTTTATCCGCGGTTGCGGTATAGGCAGAATCTGTGCGTGCGCGTAATATTCGTATTCGTGACAGATGCAGTTTCAAGGAAGATGAAAAATCGTCTGTCACAGAAAAATGTATATTGTCTGAAAAATTCCCATCACAGTATTTAGAACAAACACAATTTGATGAAACGATAGTTTTTCAGTAATTCCTTCTCAAACCGTTGACATATCACACAGTTGGACACATCACATCATCGAGGTGCTTCTATGATCCATATTCAAAAATCAATGGTTGTATACACTTTAAGATGCGCCTGTGGCGCAACTTAAGTTGGCCGAACGGCACGATAGCTGCCTACCCGGATCAAAGAGCATCACCCACGCCGGTTAAGACCAGGACAGACCGGATCAATAAACACCTCCATCCTAGCCCATTTAGTCAACACCGGGCATCGCCTACAAAGTTGTTTATTGTATCCCCCGTACCAAGTGCGAGGTTGTTCAACTGCGCACTCTAGCAATAGCCGAAGTGATCGGGATAAGAAAATTGACCCCTGGCCTCTGCGCCCAAAAGCATTTGGTTCAGTCACTCCAATTTCCATGGCCCGTGATCGATCAGATCCGAATGTGTTCGCCGTCCAGAGTCACCCTGAGGCCAAATGATAAATACCCATGATTGGTGATGCGTCCAACTGTGTGATCTGTTTTCTAATATCGCCTATGTGATCCGTAAACGGCTTGAGAAGAAATTACCAATGAAACAATTGTTTCGCTAAATTGTGTTTGTTCCAAAAGCGCATATTGGCAACTAATAATAAATCATCACGGATCTGAGTTTTGCTGCGGGACACGTATAGCGATCAGATAACTGCCCCCTGCCCCCCTCCCGTGGACACCGCCTTTTGATCACACATGAACCGGTTCATGTAGAACGCCGACAACCAGCACACTCACTGACTGAGACTGAAAGTAAACAGAAACCGAAATTCGCCGTAACAACGTTCCTTTGCGCCCAAATAAACAAACAATCGGCCAACGATCGAGGAACGATTAGAATGCGGTGCAAAGAAACCGCATCACATGAGAACCCCCCCCCCCGCCACACACACACGCGCCCGGCCCCAGGGGCTCCCGTCGAATTGGTGCGTGCGTGCACACACACACACACGAACAAGCACTGGCAGAGAGAGAGAGAGCGAGAGAAATCAATTACGACAAGCATGAACTCACTATTGGTCCAGTTGTTGTTCAACACACCACACCCAATGGGCGATTGGCTAGGTAAGGGTCAAACGCGACGAGGATCCTCTTAGCTGTCAACCCCATCCACACAACGACAAAAAAACACCACGTAAAGGAATTTTAAAAAGCACACATGAACGTGTGTGTGCGTGTAGGATAAAAACAGTCCGGTGACAACAACGATTCGCAGAGTGCACGATTGCGACAACCAAACGAGGTGTTGCGTGTGGCACACAGAAAGACGGGCGCGCACGCGTGGGCAACAAGTAACATATTTGTCGGGTAAAAAGCAACCCCCAGTCCGAGATGTCAAAGTATAAAGCAACAACAGAATATGAACGAACAGTGCACGAGGCGCAAGAGATAACGGATATTGAACGTGGTGGACTACGAATCAACGACTGGAGAGAAAAATGGTGGATGCAGTTGGCTCATTTGATAACAGCGACCAGATGGACAAAACTATGTATGGACTATGGAAAAAAGGGATTATGCAAACAATTTATTTGTCGTGAGGAAAGATGTCAGGTAATCGTCAGCAGAGGCTTACGCAGTGCAAAGAAGAAATGGCGCCACATTGGGGCTGAGTATCAGAAAGGACACGGTTTACTCTCTAATAAACACACGCAATCTGTTTCGTGGACACCGGAAAATATAACCTGCATTCTGAAAGGACAGTGTATTGAGCGTTGTCTATCGGGAAGAATCAATCTGCTATGTGTAACTGAAATTGGCAATTCAGGAGAGTTCGTGAACACGGACACGGTATAATTAATAAGCGAGATCAATGGTCGATTAAAACGAGATTCCCGGAACTAAGTGAAATCGGAGCAGGCTAAACGGATCACTCTAGTCAGGCCCAAAACTCTATGGCTTTGACGCAACAGATACATTAGTGACAGTCATCGTTTGCTAGACCGGGGGAAGGGAAGGACATGGTACAGTGAAATAGACAAAAAACAAGAACAATATCCAAAGATGGGGAGAGGGATGTGTGTGTGGGGGGGAGGGGTTAGATATCATTTAAACATTGGACCAACCTTATCCCTTGGGGTAAGTCGCGTCCAGGGCTTGTCAGCACGACGATCGTACGCATCCGCTTCGCTCATTTCCACGTACTCGTTAAATCGAATGATGCGACGCTGTTTCAACTCGTCTACGGTCGGGCGGAATGACAACTGTTCGTGTACAGAGAGAGAGAGAGAGGGTTTGAACGGGATCGGAGAGAATGCAAAGGTGCGGAATAAGAAAAGCATGGGAGATAAGATAGTAAGTTAAAAATTAAGAGAACAACATAGTACAAACGATGAGAGAAAATGTTTCGAAACCCATGTAGTAATTATACAGATAGCGATCGTATGCAGTGAATCTGTATACAAGTGAGCACAGGTAAACTGGAATCAAAGGTGGATCAATGTGATAAAAAGAAATTTCCAACAGTTCAACTAAAGTAAACTACTGGTGCTATGTTTCAATTGATTGCATAAGCAATAGTGCATCCAGTAATACTTCCGGGAAAAAAGAGTTAATGCTCCTTTGAAGGAAATACACCGCTCCATGGATGATGATGATGATGATGATGATGATGATGATGATGATGATACAGGGAAACAAACAGGCATCCATTCCAGTCCTTGAAAACAAACGGACCAAAAGTGGTCCAGAGTCGAAACAATCATTCCGATTTAGAATATGGCCAAACTGAGTGTGTCCAAGACTCTGATTGATGCAGAGCGAACGGTAATAGTCTACGCATTGGTGAGGGCATGACAAGCGAATACGCAATGCGAATGGAGTTCTGAGACACCCCAGATGAAGTGATCAGTGATAGGATTATATATTCCATCAGTTCCATGTAAAAGTAGTGGACTAGTTCCTCTGAGTCATAACTCTGTAGCGCAACATCAACATAAACTCGGTTAGATGCTCACAACCGTGAGTTGTGCTATGTATCGTGGATAGAGCAAATAGGCCAAAATTCGATCAGATGTCCGGTGATCAAATGCGCAATATGCTTGCATTCTATTTATGAGGTCTCGGGTACAACCCTGTCCAGTTAGGTCAATCGATTCTGACAGCTGATGATGAAACTCCACAACCCCGAACCGGGCTGTCCGGTGCTTTTCGAGTGGCGTCGCTCTGTGTCCGACGAAATCCATTCTGTGTGCATTTGCACTGAAACTGACACAATTCCACCATACACTACGGAACAGCTTCTACCCAATTCGGTAGTCCTTCTTTGGAGATGAAGTAATTGGACATCTGATTCATTCCAGCAGATAAACTCTTTTAATGGAGAAGAATCAATCACCAGGAGATAGAATATGAAAATGGATGTTGGCAGGGGAAACAGCGCACTAGACAAACGTGTAGCCATTGTACTTGACGACGTTTCTATTGTAAACGTCAAAGGCAATCAATAGACTAGAGTGAGGAACCATTTTATCCTTTGCGTGGATGTAAAACCCAAAAGTGGTCTGATGCCGAGCTACGGCTAAATTTACACAGAAAAGTTCAATCTCAACCGTTAGGACTGAGGAACTCATGCCCCTCCAATCCAACCCCCACATGGATTACTGGTCTATGCCATATTGGTATCCCGCGCCATGCGGTGCAGAACGAAGAACGATGAAATATATGATCAGTACTTTTAAAACAGCTCATGTCTACAGCCAATTAGCAAAGATTCAATTCCTTCGTGAGAGAAGTTTGAAATGGAGAAAGAATGAGTGACGGTTGTGCGCCAATCGTCTTCCCCGATATGCAATACTACTGCTAACATTGGACGCACAAACAGATGTGCACCTATTGAGAGAATAAAAACGGTTTTGACCACTGTTTTCATGTATCAGCAAAGGCGTCAGTGGAGAAGGAGAGATAAAGAGAGGGAACCGAGTCGGAAAGACTGCGTTCAGTGGAAAACACTCGAAGGATGAGGCTAGGCACTGTGGTAAGTGTCTGACCTCTACCGAGAAAGAACTGAAAAAATAGTGAACACCAATTAGAACGAATTTGCCAGTGTTATAGTCCCACAAGGCGGTGCTCGGTCGAGGATAGTTGTTTATTGACAATTACAGATAGGACATCCCTAGTTTGGCATACATAACACAGAAATCTCATCAGAAACATACAATCGCCGTTCCTGGCCGCACAATGAGGATGAAAGCTGGCAATCGATAGTTACTCTTTGACATCTGGCAATTTGCCCTCGGTGATCTTGTTGGTTTTTGATTGTCGAAATAAATAACCAACCATGTTACCTACTACTCACAAATAAGAGTGTTACCGCGCAACACCAGATATCTTCAAGTTAGAAATGAGTCAACTGGATGACCACCGACCGTGACCGATGAGCGCTGCACTATACAATGCGGATCTCGAGCAAAACCGACCGTCCAATCGAATTAGATAGTGTGATACTATGACGATTCGTCGTGTTCGGGTTCGAAGTCCGGAGTGTATGGAATGAACATTGTCGACTACGGATTTCCAAAATACAAAACACTGTAGTGCTGAACTGCTGAACTATGTAGCATAAATTCGACCTCAGTACACGAACAATAGAGAGTCCAAGAACAAACAGGCCGAGGGTGGTGAGTGACAACAACAAAAAATGAGGAAAAAATACGCAAATAATTCGGAGGAGAGGATACCGGATTAGTCGTGGATGGCACAGTGATTGGGTTACATGAACGGTACAGTCAGATAGCAATGAATGATCAGATGTTAACCCAGGGAAACTAACGTCGTTGTGTCGCAGGACGAGGAGAAAAACCATCACTGAGAATTCTAGTGATGCAGACGCTAGTAGTAAATCAGTGTCATAATGAAGATGCATCATGCCGAAAGGGTGAAAATAGGGCGCGAAAGAGTGATTTAGTTTCCATTGCAAAGACCGCTCCGTTTTTCCGGAATAATACGGCTGGATGAACAACCCCATATGAGTAGGTTAAAAGAACACCAGTAGAGATTGAGTGGGCTAACCACAAATTCATGGCCAACCAGACTTTATATTATCAGACGCATCTGTGAATCGCAGAAGGACCACCTACAATGTGATGAACCGTGAAAAAGCCGCTTTCGCTTCACTAGCTAGACGGTCGTAACCGATCAATAGCGCTGTTGGGTGGGGCTTTGCATTGCAAGCAATATATCCGACCGTGGAAAGCATCTTGATGTACGCGAAATTGGCCCATCACCAAGTGCGGTGGTCCTGATGCTGTGCCCTTATAGAAAGTGTCGGGTCAGTTGGAAACGGGAGGTACACTAGAATGAAGGAAGACCACGAACCAATCAGGATACAATTCGGTACGATATCCTTGATTCTTCTATAAATTTACCCATCAAATAACCCAGTTAATTCTCATATGTAGGTTTCTATCATTTAGAATTGAAGTGAACTGAACCAAAAGTCTGAGGAGAGGAACGAGAATATTCAAAATCGTTCGAATTTGTCGTTAAAGCCAAAAAAATAGGAAGGGCGAATGGTTCACTGTAGAAAAGTCGAAAACATGGGGTGGTGGTGGTGGGGGACAATTATTTAACTCACCTTGCGCGTCAGAATACGCTTCTTCTCTTCTTTCGCTTTCAGACGAGCCTCCTCAGTATCGGCTGTGCGGGAACAGAACAGATAAATCAAAGTCAGTTTTATTGTGGGCAATGCGTCCAAGCGCACACCTCACCAAAAACCATGGGATTTTTCACAGTTCAATTGTATGAATTGTATGAACCCGCTGTTCGCAGTTGAAAACGGGCAGGACAGGGTACTGGGTCCACAAACAGTGAATTCGTATACGGTAGTCAGTGAGATTCGAATCGCGTGATAAGTAAATCAATCATTATGTTTTACTTTTCTTGACTTTCTTCGACTAAACTCTGTGACTGTCTCATTCAGAAAGGAATGCCAGATAAATCCATTCATGTGATATGTTTGTGATACAGGAAATGCTAGAGCCGGATGGTGCTCTAGCAATCGACTTTACGAAGAAAAGTGATTCTAAAGCAAAATTGTCGGTACAGGCTACAGCGAGCTAGCTGTTCGATCGCATCCCGTCGTAGATCAAAGAACGAATAAAACAGCTTCGACCGAGCTAGTTACGTTAAAATTTCTCAAATCAATGAACAGAGACAAAAAAGATGAGATATGGGGTTGCTATCGTGACTAGTATCACACTTGCGTATCGGTTCGTTTTACGTAATGTAAATTAATTTAGCCCACATTCAATATCTTCATTTTCATCACACACAAACACAATGACCAGATGAGCAGACAGTAGTATCAGACCACAGTTAAAATGGCTATACAGTAATTGTCACTCCAACCGTATTGGTCACATATTTCGAAGTGAACAGGCGACAGAACGCGGTGTGATTAACAAGCGACGATGCGAAGAATTTTCATCATTGTTCCTTTCGAAGGAGTAGATTGTGTGCCAAACAAGGCGAGGGAAAATTGTGTTCCAGTCGGATGCAGATTTGGCGGAAAGCTTCCGAAACTGGCACACTAGTTCGCGATCGACCCGAGTTCATTATCAGGTTAAATTCTGCCCAAAAATTTACAGTTCAAGCAACATTATTCGTAATCCGGTCATCTCTCGCTATGCTTCGTTCACTGATTTATCTCAAATCAATCGAGCAACATTGCCTCGGAGCAATTCAGCTCGCATGTTGTTCAAATCAGACCAGTGTCCTGTCCTCGATTGTGTCGTACTATGTCGGGAATAAGCATTTGTTTGTTTTTTTCAAATTTTTTCGTCCGTTCGGTTTTCGCAGAGCAGTTACGAACACAAATGCGTGCTTAGACCATTTGATTTGCAAGCACATTGTTTTGTTTTCATGCGAATATAAACGATCCAAATGGATTATCGCACGAAAGATACCTGGCGCTCAGGTGCACACACACACACACACGTGAACACACACACAGAGAGCCATTTCTTTTAATTTTATTATCATCTTCATAAAAAAATTCGGAAATGATCAGCAACTAAACTGATAAGATGGCACATGTTTGATGAGGGGGTAAACAGAGGGATCATATGATCGAACAAGGTAACTACAAGAACAAACATCAGGTGATCAGGTAACCGGAATGAACGGGATCAATGGAGATTCTGTTTAGTATATTACCTGCATCAATGGACTACTTAGCATTAGCTGTCAAATAATGACATGCGTACGGATCTGTTCAGTTAACGGTTGAGTTAAATGGCTCAAAAACAAACAAATTGATAGATAGACAACGACGCGTGAACAAATCCGACTTGCCATTCAACGTAGAAATGCATCAAAAGGTATCATTCGGAATATCATGAAACGAAAAAGGGACAGACCACCCGTGAGTACGTAGGAAAAGATGCGACGAGGAGGGACAGGTACATTTCACGTTTGACGGAGTTCGCCAGAGTTCCCCTTTCTGACCTAGATTTATTGCTTTCGAGAACCTGATATCGCGCTCTCTCGCTCGCTCCATGCCCTGTTGATCGCGCTCCAGTTCATCAGTATTACCACCACAACCAGCACCATTTATTCCTTTTTCTCCTTACCTACACACACATAGATAGTAGTAGATANGAGAACACCAAGACCTATAAATAGATGTCCCCTTTGAGAGTAAGAATGCTATATGCGCGGATCCGAAATGCGGATGACATTACTGTATAATTCATGGCATGGAACTGATGAGCAGTAAGTATTCGTAGGGACAAATTCACTAATCGCTGACTCGTCCAAGACAGATATCAGGCGTTTATCTATGTTGGGTGGTTGATTCATCGTAATATTCATCACTTTGGAGTGATCAGTCATATGCAGCCCGCGATTAGTGATCCTTTGCCAGTATTGNTGAAACGAGTCGATGTGGTGCAGATTTAATTTTTATGGTTGTGTTACTGGATGGGGCTCCTCGTAGATAGCTAACATTTACAGAAATAGGTGCACACAGGCCGAGGTTATGCTGGCTATGATGTCAAGCGAAGATCTGAAAATCTTGGTTATTGGCGTTCCGTACTCACAAGTTGCTACCACTCTATCGGCTCCTTGCTCCATTCATTTATTCTCCTTATTACCAATCGGACAATGATTAGAGGTAGATAGCAAGTGACGGCATCAAAGTTGGCGGTTTGGCCTCTGAAAGCCACGGTATGGTCGGGGGTGAGTGGCTAGGGTTGCGGCTGGTCACCCTTCCGTTGCAACTCGTGAAATGCACCCATACGATCAAGCGTCTCAAATAGCCTCTGCTGAGGAAGCCCCACTCAATGCCTTCTCGTGGCGGAGGTGTTTTCCCACCAAAGTGAGAGGACAAAAAGTCGACATTCGGGGCTATAACCGGTTTGAGGGAACACTGGTAGTGCGCCTAGAGGGAGTTGGCCAAAAACCTTGATTCCAAACCAACCACCAAGAACTAATTCTCTGTGGGCGTAAACGACATTTGCTTGGCCCCCACAAGAGGTGATTCATTGTTAGACAAGGTAATTACTAATCACCCAGAACATATTGTTCTAAAACTCACAGCACCTATTTCCACTAGTGATCACGCACCGATTCTCATAAGACCCACAGTCTGCTCCCGTCCCATTTACAATACACTCACAAGAACCAATCAAATCACCATTCGTCTTCGCAATCTTTCCCCAAGAAACACCCTTCTTCTTAAGCGTTTAATTTGTGTCGTTTCTTCGGGGTTTTTTTCTTACCCCCCCCTTTACGGAATGCAGTCAATTTATTCACTGAAACACTTAACCACACGTTTAACCTATGCTGCCCCTTTGAAACTCTGTATTTGTAAAGGCAGAATAGTATCTCCACTGCTAAAATCATTCAGAACACAGAAGGAACGATCGTATAAATCTAGAGACTCAGCGGCTGTCACGCATTACATTAAGTTGATCAAAGATGAAATCAAACGCCTCTCTGACTCCTATGCCTCCCAGCTTCTGCTATGTAATAACAGTAAGCGAATTTGGCAAGGTACCAAATTACTGTGTGGGACCAAATCCAAAACGTCGGATTGCACAAATGATTTGGACTGTGTTAGTGCAGGATTTATCCACCCACCAAGCGATGCAATCACGCCATTTGTTATGTACGATGCCGTTCAAGTAGAGGCCGTCTCGAAAGAAGAAACTCTTGAGCTTTTCCGTACCGTGATAACCACGTGCAGTGTTGGTCCCGATGGTCTTTCATCTTCCCTTCTGAGATATGCGGCCTATTCTCTCAGTGAAATATTCACATCATTTTTGAACAATTCTTTAAAAATCTGCTCTATACCAGACTGTTGGAAACCAGTAACAATTGTTCCCATTCCCAAATCCTCTACTTCAAACGTTCTAAACAAATGCTTTC